CATTTGGAGGCAGGGTGGGAGAAGCGCCGAGAGCAGGCAGCTCCGCAGGGCCGAGAAGCCAGCAGAAGCCAAATTACGTGGTTTTAATGCTCTGTCGCTTGCACGCAGCTATTTATGCAGGTTTTTAATAATCTAAGAAACTGGATTCTGCTCCTAATTTTCCTCCCGTGAGGTTGCAGTAAAGAATTTGATGTCATCTGAGCAGGACAATTCAACCTCTGATGGAACATTAGCCAGGCAGTAGATATAGGATTACCTTCTGCAGAAACAAGCATCATCGCACTACAGGATAACGAAGCTGTTACTTGCAACCATTTCAGGATGTTGTCACAGCAAAGTATATTTTATGACTTGATTTTTAGCTGTACAGATTAATTTCTGGAGCTTCGATATACAATTAGGTGTATTTTGAAAAGCCTGCTTTTCATTTGTGGATTTCAGAGCATGAGAAAAAATGGGAAACATGCCTGACTGCTGCAGAGAGGCCATAGAGATGATTCCTTGAAACCACTAGGATGCCCGGCTGTTTTAAAAAGACCTTATTTTCCTTGGCTTCTCTAATAAGTTTTGCGTCTTTTATCTTGATTGTCGTTGCAATGGGGACCCCAAAGTGGATGACTGGAAAGATCCTTTGCAAAACAGGAGCTGAGCTGGTCAATGCCACAGATCCAGAGCTGGTCAAATTCATTGGAGAAATTTACTATGGGCTCTTTCGGGGCGGCAAAATACGCCAGTGTGGGTTGGGCGGGCGGCGTTCCAAATTCACAGGTAAGTACAATTTTAGTTGAATCTTTAGTCTAATGTCTAGTTGAACTTTAAAAGCTCTCTATTTTTTTTGTTTACAGAACTTAGAGAATGCAAATGATTATTATTTATAGTTGTGGTTGACTTGTGGTCTTTATGGCTTGGGATCTGAGTGTGAATATCATTTCAGGCTAGCTTTTTATTCCAGTTATATTCTGTAATTACAGAATGGTTTGGGTTGGAAGGGACCTTAAAGATCATCTACTTCCAACGCCCCTGCTATGGGCAGGGCCACCTCCCACTAGACCAGGTTGCTCAAAGCCTCGTCCCACCTGCCCTGGACGGAGCATCCACAGCTTCTCTGGGCAACCTGTTCCAGTGTCTCACCACAGAAAATAATTTCTTCCTAGTATCTAATCTAAATCTACCCTCTTTCAGTTTGAAACTGTTACCCCTTGTCTTATCACTACAGTCCCTGATAGAGTTCCTTCTCTTTCCTACAGGCCCCCTTTAAGTACTGGAAGGCCGCTGTAAGGTCTCCCTGGAGCCTTCTCTTCTCGAGGCTGAACAACCCCAACTCTCTCAGCCTGTCCTCACAGGGGAGGTGCTCCAACCCACTGATCGTCTTCGTGGCCCTCCTCTGGACCTGCTCTAACAGGTCCATGTCTTCCTTACGCTGAGGGCCCCAGAGCTGAGCAGGTGGGGTCTCATCAGATGGAGAGAATCACCTCCCTTGCGCTGCTGGCCACTCTTCTTTTGACGCAGCCCAGGATGTGATTGGGCTTCTGCACTGTGAGCACATATTACCGGCTCTTACTCAGTTTTTCATACACCAGTACTCCCAAGTCCTTCTCTGCAGGGGTCCTGGAATCAAGATGGGGAAAAAAAACCATCCCTAGAACTAGACTGAGGGTTTCCTTTTAGTGTTGTGAAGAGTAAAATAATTTGGAGATCACCCTGTAAATCATACTTTCCCCTTGACTTTTTCCTATGCCAAGTGTTGCTCGCTGTGCCTCTGTCCTTGCCTTCTCTGTTAAACTTTTTTTTTTTTTTTGCTTAAGAAGTTGAGATTTATTGCCACATTTCTGTATTTCTCTAGCTGTCCTGATGCAGATGTCTGCCATAGCAGATACTCCTAACTTTATTACCATTTTAAAGAAATGTTTACTTTCTTTTCTGGTAACTTTGGAGAGAAAAAAAAATTGCTGAACTCCTAAAAAACCCTTATAAATGTATTCCTTTTAACTTAAAAGATTTTCTTGAGGTCTTAAAAGCATTCAGATGTTGATCTATACTTTGGAGGATTTCCAGTTTTCACACATCCTGTGCTGTAGTGAAAATAGTACTTCACATCGGAGATTTTTAGTACAGTGTGCAGATCCACTGCAACATCAATGAGTATGAGTTGAAGCTGCCACAGTCTCACCCTCTCCCTGGCCCACAGCAATGCTCTCCTGCTGTCCCTAACCCTGGACACCTGCTCCATCCTTTACAATGGCTCTGGTAGTTGTTGTGGTGAGGTAGTTCAGGAAGTTAGGCTGACCAAAAAATGAACCTAAAAAACTTTTAAAAATTAGTTTCCCGTGGCTGACTACACAACTGCAGAAGCACCACTATAAAAACTCGAAGGCAGGACTGTGGGACTCAAGAGGAAACTGAGAGGAGAACCAGAGAAACCTCAGCTTGGATCACCATGACCAGTTGTTAAGTTGTGATGAATTTGGATTAGATGCTTTTGCGATAAGCAAGTCTTGCCCAAGCTCTGACTATAGCTGCAACTTTGTGACATGGACCTGGCAGCCGTGCTCAAATGCTTTGTCTAGTGAGTTTGAATGGCTGGCAGACAGGCCATCAGGTCAAAGCTCTTCCAGCTCTGCTCCTCTTCATGGCATTCAGAAACACAGTCCCACTTCTTTTATCCTATTTTGTCAGAAAGAATGAGCAAAAAAGTAGCTGTTCTCCTTTAAATCTTTCTACAACTTTCTGGACTTTTTAATAAACTTTCTGATTAATTACAATGTAACCCAAGAAGGCAGCCTAGTGTTCTGCCATCACTCCAGACTGCATCAGTATGTATTTGGAGGGCATGATCCTATACTCCTTAGACAAACAAGGCTCTCACTGAAGCTAGTAAGGATTCTTCCTGTTAGAACTATAAAACTGGGTTGTTAAGTGCAGTGGGCACAACCATACATTCAAGTAAACAAATGTCCCAGAGATTTTCCCTTTTAAATATTTTAATAGTTCTGTCAGGTTTGATACGTTCACAATACTGGTGTCAAAATGATACCACAATAGTATTCAAAGCTGTTAAATACTTTTTTGCACAAGACTCAGCAGGACTCCTGGGGGTTCTGAGTCTGAGTTGACTTTTTTTTTGCTTTGAATGCCCCCCTTTATCTCTGAACTTACTGGGGAGCAAGATGTGTGAGAGTTTTCTTGGGGAATGTGTTGGCATAAATGGACCATACCGGCAGCACAGAGCAAGACAGAAAGTTAGCAGCTCATACGCTGCCGTACGGCAGTAGCTCTGACACTTTGGAATTCCAAATTGCAATAATATATGGTTATTAGTACATCACCTTTTACTGTGTTAACATTCACTACAGTGGGCTTCCGGCTGGCACACTCTCTCTTCTAACAGCGACAGTGACAGCATGATACAATTACTGTCATTGGTGTCCAGTGCTATTTTAGACTCCTAAAGGTATATTATCTGGCCTCCAGCAGCTGCTTTTGAAGGTGTCCCATACATAGTGGGGCATGCATATCAGACTCACATGGTTGTTATGGTACTCCTAAGGCATCTAAATTGGTGTAAGATGCTTCTGTTCCAACAACCAAATCAAGCTCTGGAAACGAGCTGGGGAAGCCAAGGATTCTGTCTGTGCAGAGCAAGCACAGCTGGAATGTGCCAGGAGCCTTCATGGGCAATATCCTTCCAGAGAATTATTTCTGTGTACTAAGCCAAGCTCACTAGTAATGCCTTTGGCACTTGGCTGAGAGTCTCAGAAAACAGACAAGAGAATCCTTACAACGACCCTAAAAACTCTAGTGGTTTGTAAGAAGTCTAAATTTCATATGCCTTGTTACACTTCCAGTTATTTTCCAGTAAGAAAGCAAGCTAGTTCCTGGCTTCCCATTTCTCATAAATACTTCTGATTTTCATTTAATGCCCTCCTTTCTTCTTGTTTTTTGGAGTCACTTCTGTAGCTCCTGTGTACACCAGGCCCAACTACAACACCAGAATGAGCTACTGAAAAGGCAGAACTGCTGAATCACGAATTTTTATATGGAATTTGTACAGTACGTAGTTTTCTACATAGTCTACTAGAATTCTGTCATGTCATGATGACCAAACTGCATGCCTGATATTTACTGTGACATCTACATAGTTTTTATGTGGCTTGTTTGGAATTTTTTTCAGTTATGCAGCATAGCAAGCAATCTATTTATTTGCTTATAACACAATATACCTTCCTTTTTAGTAACTTTTTAGTAGTTAGGCAGTTAGTTCTTCAAAACATGTAGGAGTGTGCAGTACTATGCTACCTGAAGGGCGCTTCTTGATCAGCTTGTATTGTAGGGTTCTTCTCAAAGAGCTTCTCTCTTTCCTGTCAGTCAGCATGTCACAATTCCCTATTCATATTTCTTCTGATTCTGTTACTAAAGGCCTGCAGAATAAACTGAATACTCAGGTGCTCCATGCCTCCCAGCGGCTGGCTAATCTGGCCCTCCAACAAAGTTAACTCTGTGAAGACAAAAAACAACAAAGCCACCATTTTTTAGAGATAGGCGCGTGACAGACTGCTGAGGAAGAGCTCATGGGAACTGCACAACACGCGAGCCCTTCACCTGAAGCCCACCTGACTCCAGTACTTTACAAGCTTCCTACAGATGGAACTAAAGCACCGCCAGATACCCAGGGGCCATGAACACCAGATGAGAAACCATGAAGGGAATCTGAAAGTGAAAACCTGTGGGACTAGGAAGTACAAAATCAGAGTAGATCTCACTGGAGCCAGTATTAAAGAGAGGAAGAGAGAAAGAAGAATAGCATGAGAACTAGATAAGTAAAACAGGACTTAAGCCTGCATCCTTATTCACAGACCCCATGTAAATGATTATTCCTGCATTAGAATATCCCTGGTTTGTCTGATGTAGGGACAAATAAAGCATCATGAATTAAGATGTAACTACTTGAACTGATCACCTTTGTAAAAAATAGTCTTGTTAAAGTATAATTTAGGTCTGTGGCACTGGCATAGTGTGATGTTTACTGTTGTCAAGGAAAAGTATACGCTGAACAGATGATTTTTTTTCTTGACAGTTTTCCCACACATGGTGAAAAAGCTGAATACAGGCCTGCACGTGATGATTGTAATGTTCCTCTGTGTGGCCATTTTCTTTTCTCTGGTCAGTTTTGGATTCTGCATTCTTAACGCAATAAAAGTTCCTTACCGGGCTATTAAAGGTCCAGCAGGAGTATGCCTTTGGAACTTCCTTGCAGGTAAAATCATTTGCCAGTATTTTTCACCAGTCACATTCATACAAACTGTTAAAAGTCTTTCTCTTGCCTTACTAAATATCTCCTTGACTGAAATAGTATTGAATAAAGTGAAGTTATCAGAGAATTCTCATCTATCAAAACAGGACTGCCAGGTGGCATATCAGCTTATTGTGTCCAGTCAACCTTTTACAGGGGTTATGAACAGTCTTTCGGCCCTGTATCTGTGATAAAAGGACTTTATTACAAACACTGGTATGGATTTTGGCCATACAATGAAGAGTAAACACTGTGAAGGTGTTTAAGCCATGCCTAAGTCTCTTCTCTGCTCTGTATAGTACTCGCTGTTGTATTCAATAAGCCACCTAAAGCACAGCCAAGACATCTGCCTTGTTTTGACAACAACTGTGAATACTTCTTTATTTTGTTGCAGGTGGATTTATAGCACTTGCAGTCACCAGCTTTATGGCTGCTGTGAAACTTCATCACCTCACAGAAAGAATTGCCAATTTTCGGGAAAACGTCTTTCAATTTGTTATCTTAGAAGAGCAGTTTGAAGACTGTTTCTGGCTTTGTGTGGCAAGTGGCACAGCACATGCAGTAAATTTGCTGCTAGTAGCTATTAGTGGGATTAATTTCCCTAAAATCAAGACTAAAACAGAAGAAGCAAATGTTACAGCAGAAGATATAATGTACTAATAAATCTACACAAAACTGCTTTTGTCAAGTGAACTGTCATGACAGAAAAGGCTTCTTGGCTCTTCGTTTTTTAATTTGGATGGATGTTTTTGGTATAAACACAAGTAAAGATGCCAGTCTACAATACCAGCAATTATCATGTGTGGGAAAGTGCAAAAACCAAATGCTATCAATACCATTATTCTCAAAACTGACCGACTGCGGTGAATATATGCTGTTCACAGTTTTTGGAAAATTCGCATTTTGAGATATTTTAGAAAATTGAGGTGAAATGCATTTTCATCAAAACCAAGTGTCTTCTTTGTTTAGAAAGAAAATATGTGTACCACAGATCTTTGATATTATAAGCTTAGTTCAGACCAGAAAGAATGGACATTTGCCAACTACCTTCACAGAATTATCTGCAAAATGTCGAGAGGTATGTTTGATGATGTATACTGCATTAAGAAAGAAAATACCATCTCTGAGGCTAAAGTTAAGTGGAAGCATAGGCTACGTATGTGTGAAATGTTTTTAAAATAGACGTTATCAAACTCTCACAAAGAACTGAGACGAGAAAAATAAAGTTTATGGTATACTAGTAGACTGTGAGAAAAAAAATCTTAGCTGCAAGACGAAGGTTTTACTGCAGCTTCTGCAAGTAAAGTAAACAAAATCTAAGGAACAGTGGGTTTAGCTAACATGGTAAATAATCATCTGATAGATTAGTTGTCTTCAGAAGCCTGGAATTCTTACGTCTATCTGAAACTGAGTAAAACTTCTGTAAAATGAAACAGTACTGAAGTGAATAAAAATGGTTAAATGGCTGGAAAAGTTACTTGATTACATAAATTATGGAAGTACCTTAATTTTGGCAGGCATTCAACCAGTTCTTGGGTCATGAGTAATGAGTATTTCACATGAAAGAATATGCCATTAAGCATATCATTTTTAGATTTTGACTACTAGACTGAACACATACTCAACTTTTAAGAGTAGACACTACACATAACTGAAGAATGACTTTGAAGGAATAAACAAAGTTACCATCTAAACTGAAGAAATCACTTTGCAGTCAGTTACTCTTCATCGGGCCACTGGATTGTGTAACTTGGGAAAAGCTCTTTGGAAAAAATGGTAGTGTTTTTCTAAAAAGAATTCAAAGAGTTTTAAGAACATGGCACGATATACAAATAAATCCTTAGTTTTTATTTGGAAAGAGCTCTTTACAAAAGCAGAACTGTAAGGGTCAAGCATTTTCAGAAGGACCTAAAAGCATACTTTGTGTACTCAAATTACTGGTTTTATCGCTGAAATGTGCAGAACATTCAGCAAAGAAAGTTGCCAGAATTAGCTGATATTCAACGTTTGCTGATTAGGCCACTTATTTACATATTTAAGTAAGGAATTGTAACTCAGCTTAAGCCTGTGAGTTTAATACCTTTGGCCCAAATACTTATTTTCCATGCTCTCTTTACTTTGTTTTCATCTAAAGATGAATGAAAACAGATGGTTTATGGTGTAATTTCTACTTTCATTTAGTATTCTTATCAGTTTTGCTGTTGCAAAATTCTGTCTGAAGGACTCAATTGACACAGCAGATTCATGTTCACAGAACACTTCAGCAGTGTGTGTGCAAGCCCTGTGTGAGGTAAGAAATGAAAAGGTTTTATGTCCTTTCAGCACATACACAGCAAGACCAGCAGGCAGTTGGCAGGCAGCGGCCTAGTTTCAGAGGAAACGTTACTAGCAAAACTCAACCTACAAATGTAATGAGTAGTGTTTGTTGCTGTAGCCTGTACCATATCTGGTTCTGGCCCTACAAATTTAGCAGGATTATGAGTGAAGCAGAAATGTGTAAAGATACTTCTCCAATAGGCCCTAATAATCCGTCTTCTTCAAGACGTGTTAGATCTTTTGTTTTGGAAGCACTAAATTTCATTTTTTTTAAGTCCCATAAAAAATCAAGAGACAGCTGGTGAGTTTTGATGAGTCTAGAGTACTGCTAAAATTGTAGCATAAAGGAGACTCATTAAAGCAGAAAAAGCAATTCCTAATTCATACCACCCACTTACTTCACTGTTCTTCCAATTTTACTGGTGCTTTCACCCCATCTTTCCCCTGGGCCACAACTCCAGGAAAATGGTGCAATGCTCAGTGCGTGAACAGGCAGCAAAACAACGCAGTTTATGAAGGTACCTTAGGTGGCAACAGCCCAGTACTGTTGAGAAAACCATCCACAAAGGCCTCTGTGTTACCACCCCCTTCACCTCCCAGAAAATTTTGAGTGGCTTTGAAATAGAAGACCTTAAACTGCTGCATAATTACACAAGTAGAAAATATTTGTAATTTTGTATTGTTCTATGAACATGTAATTTAGAAATAGCTGCTGTACAGAAGGAATTACATTGTAACACATAACTTAGCCTTTACTAATGTAATTCTCTTTAGGAAGTGAAAAGGAATCTGTTTTAAATCCTCCATAGAGAGCAATTGCTTTGGAAATGCTTTTCAGTAGTGTTAATATACATATACTACAACACATTTTTCATATGGCTAATGAGCAGCTTAATGCCACACAAACTTTCCCCAAAAGGTAGTTATTGAGTAAGAGCCATGGGACTAAAATTAAAGATTTGTTGGACTGGATTCCTAGACAGGTCACAGTAGCTCCAAAGAACCATTAGAGTACACTGTACAAATAAAGTTAAAGAGAGATAGCTGGGCTGATCAGCTTTTTAATTTCTCATTTTGAATCTATTCGACAATCAATCATACTCTGCAGAAACAGTCCAAAAGATTTCTCACAGCAGATTTATGAAGTGTTAATGTGATATTACAGCTGCATGAGTTGAATGACGAAATCAACATTGCACCAAGCAACAACTGTTTTGTGACTTGTGAGGAAATAGTATTTTCAATTCACTTTAGAGTGAACAGAACTGTTACATGCATGGATTAAACTGAACGAAACAGATATAAGGCTAAACTAACCTTTCAGCTGCACAGGTTGTCTCAGTTTAAGCACTGCTAAGCCACACCAATGGGACAATGCATAGAATATTGGCCTTGGGAAATTGTACCTGAGAGAAAAAAGGCTAAATGCAATCAAACATAGTTACGATGTACAATTACAAAGCAAAGCTTAAGGTTAATGATGGGTAAGTCCATAACTTACACCTTTTCAGCTTACCCTTGTACATCATAAAATACTTTAAAAAAAACTTGGTGTAAGTGTGATCTACTTTGCTTACAAATTTTCATGTTAGTTTGACTTCACATAGTGTATCTAATGCTATGCACGCTCAGCATGTAAAAATGAAGACTTCTTCGGGGGTATGTTTTACTGTGGGATATTTGAAATCCCATGAGAACATTTATAAGCAGTATCTGCCTCTCCAAAATAAATGAAGCTTAAAACTAATCACCACTTTGATTCTTTAAATAATGTTATGATTTAATGTTAAAAAACTAATTTTACAATATAAATCAAAATGAACATGATTTCCCATAGTCATATCTCTGAGCGCTGCTGCCCTTAGTAAGAAATGTTATTGCTCTCTGTAGCACTTAATGGAAAAAGCAGTTAGGTGTGAACTATAATAACTGTTAAGAGAATAGGCCCAGCTATACTTCATCATGCAAGTTCATTTACAGATGTAAGAAAAATCAAATTGTTATACATAGTGTCAGATTCTCACATGTAAAAATCAATTACTTATAATATAGAGCTGTGAGGATGATTAAGGGACTTGAACATCTCTCCTATGAAGAAAAACAGAGAGCACCGGGGCTGTTTAGCCCCAGAGTTGGCTGAGAGGGGACCTTACTAGCATACACAAATATCTGAGGGGTGGGTGTCGAGGGGAAGGAGACAATCTCTTCTCAGTGGTGCCCGGCAATAGAACAAGAAATAGCGGGTTTAATTTAGAACATAGGAAGTTCCACTTGAACATGAGGAGAAACTTTTTCACTGTAATGGTGATGGAGCCCTGGCACAGGCTGCCCAGAGAGGTTGTGGAGTCTCCTTCTCTGGAGACTTTCAAAACCCAGCTAGACACGTTCCTATGTGGCTGCCCTAGGGGATCCTGCTCTGGCAGGATCTTTCGAGGTCGCTTCCAACCACCAACATTCTATGATTCTATGATAAACTATGTTTCACATTTCAGAAAATAAAAGAAAATCTGGATCACTTGACATTAAAATCCTGTGCATGTTCAGTGCTGCTGAAACTCTGGCTCTTCACAGGGAGGACACAGCGAACACTAGCAAGCTCCAAACAGTCCATTTCCAGACAGTGCTTTCGCTAGAGAAGCATAAACTGGCTTCTGACATTACACTGACAAGCCAGAATGCTGGTGTGAGTTTTCCGAGTAAAATATAACCAGTCATTCTCATTAGTCTTTTATTTTCACTTGCCACATTTTCCATTTTTCTAAAATTTCACTCTGGCATTGTCACTGCTTTCTCCTAGAGCCTCATGAACTCTCCCTGGGCGGACGGCAGTGTACCATGCAATTACGTGGGAAATAATGTGCGTCTGCCTTCTTTGCATTTGCAAACCACTTACATTTTAATCGATACGTAACTCAAATACACTGTACGCACACCAGGGCTGTGCTTTTGCTGTGTGTGGTTAAGCCCTCGCGGGACGAGGACTCACCCGGAGCACACCACGAGA